AAATCCGAGGAAAGCATACCTGCATCCTCCCTTTTTTTTTTGTCATCTCTAATTAGCCAAAAGCAAAAAAAAAAAGTATACACAACTCGATTGTCCGTAAAACCAGCTAGGTTTTTGCCAAAAAAAAAAAAACATCATCGGGAGAAAAGTAGCAGAGGCCGTTTTGCCGCAGGAGGCACTATATACACGTACATACGCATACTTATGGTTTTAATACTCGCGGAGCCGGCTCGATAACGGTATCATTAGTAGTCCACTGACTTAGAGAGAGGCTCCGCGTTCTCTTTCCCTCTCCCGCCCGCGGATTCCCCCTCTTCGCCGACGGCTCTCTTGTACCTGTAATGTACACGTATGACATGTATCGATACCACCGACCCCCTTTCCCCGATCGATGGATCTTTCACGCACTCGGTCTCCGCGCCTATGGGTGTACATACATTTCATACCGCGAGTCTGGTTGCTTCGCCTCTATATGCTCCGTATATGAAAACACCGACGCGATGAGTTTTTTTATTTTATTTTATTTTTTTCTCATCGCGAGATTCCGTGTGGAAAACCACAAGTTTTTCCGTCCCAAATTAAAAGTCAACACCTTGGGCCGAGAAACAAATCTCACCCGCGCCCGCTTCGATATTCACAAGTGGGGGAACCCCCGAATTATTTCCATAACCCCGAAGGCGAGCGATGAATTATTCAGTCGCTCGTGTGGAAGTGGAAAAAATAACGCGCCACCGTAACCCAATAAATTCCACGTGTGCGCGCGATATTGGCACTCCATTGGCACGTATTCTCCAATAAACGAATATCATTCGCGTGTAGGTAAGACGAATCGAAAATGTTCTCGATTGAAAAATTAGCGCCGACGCGACAAGTATCGAATTTCGAGAGACCATAAATCCAGGCATTTCGCGCACGGCCTTTCCGACTCTTCTTCTCTTTTTCTTCCCTCCGGTCGTGTACAGCACACGCGCGTCTTGCAAATCCAGTTATACACCTCGATATAAACAGTACACGCACACGAGCAAAAAAAAAAAGCTCCACGATTATAGCATGAGAAAAAAAAAAAAAAAAAAAAAAGGTTTATACCTATACGGACGTGTGCCGTCGCGGTCCCTCTGTATTTATAGTTTATTACCTATACGCGCACTGCGAATGTTTTCGTGCGTTCTTTCCGCAACAACACGCGTGGAGAAAATTAAATTAAACGTCGCCGCCGATGGCTGACGCGTGTAATTTGCTTTGACGGGCGCTCAAGCTTATGAGACGTCCTTTGCGCCCTTTTTTTTTCCTCTCGTGGAGCAGATGCACACTTTTGTTATCAAAAGGCCCTTTTGGATTTTACTGGGATATGAACGTGACGTACCTAATTCGTGATGGTTTGTTGATGTTGGAAAAATTGTTGATCGTCAAGAAAAGCCGAATAAACTCGATTATCATTGGGAAACGCCAAAAGGTTTTTTAAAAAGTGTAACACAGTTATAAGGTAACTTTTGCAATTGAAGAGGTTGAATTTTTTCGTACCCATGCTAATTATCCGCGACAATGTTGGAAGAAAAAAAAATGTTCAAGATCCTTTCTGACATGCCACAAAATCCAAGAGACATGAAAGGTAATCAAGTGGATTTCAACTGAGCGCACAGTCATTGTACAACAAAAAAATCTTTTTTCCCCCTGGCCTAACGAGTTCTACAGTGGTGCATCCTTTTTTTGTCCCTCTCATCGTGGTCAGCTACACACACATACGTACAGCTTGATTAGAAGAAAAGCAATGTAGTCAGCAGAGGACTAGACATATTTTTTTTGGACACGATCAAGCCCGTGAAGTGTGTGCACGCGTCGAGATCGAGATACGAAGAGCAAAACAAAAAATAAAAAAAAGGAGGAAAAGACAAGGGTGAACGGTTCTCTTGAAGATCGGTCGTAAAGTGCTTGATTTCACGAGCGCGGTCGTGGCTTATTATTATTTTTTTTTAATTTTTACCGCTGGCAAGTAAAAAGCGAGGACTGCGCATGCGATTACACAAACTAGATTGAGTCGTGTCGGCCGGACACGTAACGGTGAAGGTAATTCATCCCGCGTATCGATGACACGATATTTTGCCCCGTGATCTCAATGCTATACTCCAACAATTACGATTCCGTTTGCTCCATCGCAACTTCCTAGTTGGCGTGCCCCAGATGTCTTTTTTTTTTTTTTTTTTTTTTTGTTTCGATAAACTATACACGAATTTGTAAACTACACGATTCCAGAGTTACAGGCAGCTGCTGTTGAAAAATTAACCATGCCGTTATTCCCCTGCGCATGAGGTGGCCGCGCTCGGACCTGATGTGTAATTACAGTAATTACTAATTTTACGCGCACCACGGTGTATACATATCTACACGTGCGGAGGCCGGTTTCGATCGAGAATCGATTACTTTTATCATCACCGGTGACCACCTGGTTTTACATTTTTCCAATTCGATAAGGAATCATGAAAGTTGAATTTTGTGCATATAAACCGTTCATAGCGCCTGACGCGCGGTCAAAGAGCCCGTCTTTGCTTTCCGACTCGAATTTTTCAAATGCCCGCACCAATAGACCGAGGAATGGCCTTCAGCAACGTCCTTGATCTCGGAACAATCGATTTCACCTCTCGGTCTTTCCTGCGGCGTACGAATAACGCATATATATACACTTACCCACACCCGCGCAGAACCCCCCCGAGCGCTCTTGGAGTTAGAAAGGGAACGGAGGGAGCGCGAATCTACCTCCTCTGACGAAATAATGTTATACCCTTCTTGCCTGCCTCTCGAGGACGATTGCACTCTGAGAGTGGGACGACACTTGTAGGTACACCTATTTGTAGATTTACCAGATGTATACTTATACATAGGTATAATGTGTGCGTTAGCAAGGGACACGGGTCGTTTTGCAAGAACCGATCGCGCCGATTCCAAGTTGGGTATAGAGATCGGTATTGCAGCTGTACAAGTGTACAGCGTCATTTTTCCTTTCGATCGTCGCTTACTAGGGGGTATCGGTATGCAACAATAAACAGTACTTTCACTCATATAGCGAAGCGTCAATCGCGCGTTTCTACAGATATATATTATACTGTATACCGAGGCGCGAATGGAATTCCCGTCCGATCGAGCATACACACGTACACATGTACATGTATGTATTTTACCGAGGTCATTGACGTTTGTCTGGACTTAAAACTGACCCGTACACTTAGGTATACATATATACGCGCTTTTGGAAAATTCTTCCTCTCTTTTTCTCTACGGTAGAAACACTTGTGTCTTTGGCAGAATCAACAACAACGAGGGGGTAAAGAGAGAGAGAGAGAGAGAGAGAGAGAGAGAGAGAGAGAGAGCAAAAAATAAGCTGCATTTCTACCTTTCGCGCGTGAGCTTCGCGATTCTCGTCACCCGTAGACTCGCCGTAACGTAAGGAGGCCAAAGAAACCCGCCGCTGGCTATACCACACTCTCGCACACCCATACACGCTACATATACGTAAGCCGAAGCCGAGGCTCAGACGCAGCATCTCTCACTCCTCCTCCTCATTTTTGATGCTCATGTATTTTGTGTATATTTACACATGCACACGGATGAAGAAAACCACGTGCGACTTGGCTATACATGTACAACAAATAACCGAGGGAGGTGGACGCGTATATACGCGCTCTCCCGACGAGAGGGAGCGTTCGCGTGTGTCGTGTATAGGTATACACGCATGCATGATCGGCTCATACGACAACGGGACTCCGATAGTAGTTGGGTAGGTATATATATATATACCATACCATCACTGCCGTACCACATAGAATAAGAGGTGTCTACTGTTGTACGAGTGTGCCGTGAATCGCGTGCACAGATGTATATCTTGGAGGCCGAGCAACTCGCGAAGCGGACAGGTGTACTTACGTGTGGGTATAAGTAAGGCTCGATTGGCTTTCGAAACAGCGGCGTGCATGACTCCCGATGCATCGGGTGTATACGCGTATCGATATGTGGCGCATTGGGTCATTGGGCTGCTCCGTCCGGGGTATTATCTCCTTTTTGTTTCGATTGGGTTGACCGGAAGGGTTACAGTGACACTTCAAGATTTTTACATCAAATTTAATTGTTATTAAAGTGCTTGGGGTGAGGTGTCACGAGGAAGAGTCAACAATGCCGATCTTTAGAGATTGGACCGGAAAATTATGTAAAAATACAACGTTGCTGTGTGCTTACATCTGTTGTGAAATGATTTTCAAATTCCTGTACGGTGGGTTTAAAAAACCTTGCCGACCTTGTCGAAGAGGTGACGTGTCGTCTTACGACGCGACAAGTGGAAACCTTAGAAAAATCCTTCTCGAGGCCCGACGATGACGGAAAAGTCGTAAAACGTATAAGAAGATTACAGCGCTCTCTCGTCTTGCGGTTTCTCAGAAGCGCAATCACATTGTCGTTTGGTGTCTCTCTACTCCTATGTTTAACATACATGTAAACTATTGACTTTAGAGAATGCTTGCTCACGCGTAGTCATTATTACGCCTTTCTATAATTACAGTCAGTTTTCCGTCAAAATAAATTTTTCTATCGAAGAAATCGGTAAGCGATCGGTTGAAATGCGACCCTATATCGATACGCGTCTGATTTTCTATTCCACAAATCGTCTATTAATGTGACTCAAAGGTTTGATACAACACGAAAAAGCTACGGTATCGGAAGAAAATCGGTACACCAAAGAGCTTATAAGAATACGAATAATCCAAAGGTCAGTACCACCGAGTCGCGAAAAACGAGTTTGTGCCAAAAGCTAAAAATAACAGTGTGTGTCCCACCGCATTTGTCCGAAAACAACGATAATAAAACCACACCGATCCGACTCGCGCTTCACCGCTCGTCCCTTGGAATCAGGTCACTGTGCACTCTCGTGAATATCGAAACCACCCCCCGTCGGCTACGTATGTCTATGCCTATATAAATAGCCAATGTACAACAGTTTGCGACAGATCAATACGTACTGTACTTGCCGGACCAGCAGCTGCCGCATATCAGACCCGCAACTTTGCCGCCCATCTTCTTCTGTATGGACATGTAGGTATATTTGTGTGTATGTACTATCCGGTTTTCCTTCTATCTTCCGCGCGGACCGTCCCGGCGCGTCATACTCCACACTCCCGGGATGATGTCAAAAGAAGTAACAGAAGAGCAAACAAACGACCGGGTGACAAAAGCCACAAGTGCGACGCACCGTTTACTCCTCCCCTTCCTTTCGACTCTCTGTGTGTGTGTCTGTTTGTATACGTATCATGTGTATACACTCGCGCTGCGACTAGACGAAGAGGCGGGAACCACCTTCCCGTGCGTATTGTCCTCTAAACAGGTTCAATGATGTCAGCAGCGAGCCCACCCCCTCCTCACGGGACCTCCTGGCTATTGTTTTCCTCCGCTCTCGTTGCGATACATCCTGCATCCATCGCGACACGTGCACGTGCGTTTTTTTTCTTTTTTTTTTTTTTGTATTATTATCACACACACGCGTCACAAACTCCACCCATCACGCGAATAATACACCCCTGTCCAAAGTAGCCAAATATGTTGGTGGGCACCGTCCACGTAATAAGTGCGCGCTCCGAAAATTCGCGTCGGCGAGCGCCGGGAGTGCGTGCACGCAGCAGCGGCAAAGAACCGAGAGGGAATTCGATTAACGGGACATTCCTCTCTCGCGTTGCAGCCGGCGATGTGTTTTTCCTTCCCGCTCATCGGTGCACCGTCAGCCACGGTCCATCGCTCTCTCTCTCTCTATCCGCGGAGCTACCGATCTCTCTCGCACGGGATTGTTGCTTGTCCGATTGGTTTCGCTAATGTGACATCGGGGAATTGAGTTTTGACGTCTGCCCGACTCGATACCGATGGACCCTCGTATATTATTGGGTATATAGGAAAGATATCGGTAAGAGAGCGCGGATCGAGAGCACTTTGGATCTGGTATTTATCACTGACGATTGACGAGTTTCACCGCGAGTACAACCGGTTGTCACCGTTGATCGATTGGTCCGCAGTCTTTGACAAGGCCATTACTCGACACCTCATTGTCGACGGGTACATCGTCCGCATACCGAACCGTACAACGGCGCAAAAATCGGCAAAACGTCCCGTGCGAGGTTTAACGTACGCGCGCGCTGTCACGACCGCACTGCCAGAGCATTGGCTCTCGGAGCCGACGAGGTGAGTCCGAGCGATCGCTCGCACGTACACGGGAGTAAGACTCGTAAAAGTCGTGCGTAAAATATTTAAAAAGCCCATCTGCACGCAAACACGTGCACGCGTTGTCGTCGCGGCAAAAGCCACCGGGTGACTGGTGGTTGCCTCTCTATATCGGCGTTCGCTCGCGCGCCGACCGCCGCCTCTCTTTTCTCTCTCTCTCTCTCTCTCTTTCCCGTCACCCGTCTCTGCAACTCCTCGTGAAGCTCGTATATACGTACACGTACCGTCTGTCACTTGCGCGCTTATGTATCATGTGCCCGTACACACCTATACAAATATACATCCCTACGCCACGCGGGCTACCGGGTGTACACGTACATAGCAGATCTTTCTACTGCTCCCTCCTCCTGTGCACCGTCTTTTTCTACCTAGACAGGGTATACGCCAGCGTGTCGAGCTTTTCACCTTCTCTCTCCTCCCCCCCTTTTTTTTCACCCTCGTCCTCATCAGCATGTCTCGGTGGCATTTTCTTTTTATTTCCATCCATTCGCGTGCAGTTAACGAGAGAAAATTTTTCACGCCCGGCTGATGATCGGACCAAGGGGGAGGCTGCGCGTTAAGCTCTCGAGGGGGGGATCGAGCGATTTGACATCCAAGCCAATGTGCTGCACCGCGCTTGTTTTTTTTAATTGGAGTTGGCTTTTGCAAATTCGCCGCGCTCTTTGGGCACGAGGTTGATTTTTTTTCGCATAATGCAAGTGACCTTGCGGGGTCTTGCATTTTGAGTGAGCTTTTTTTTTCCTACCGGGGATGACTCCCATTGCGACATTTTAATCTCTAATGTTGCGTCGTTTGGATATTTTTTCACTGATGGTATATGTACAAGTGTACAATCATGGATATAATGTCGCGGTTTGCCGGATCTGTCTCTCGTTTTGTAGGTTGAAAGGTGAGCCGTTATTTTAAGGGCGGCCAACCCTGATTTCGTTAATATTGAATCTTTCAATTTGCACCCCGACGTCTCTGCTTGCATCAGCGAGCAGCCGTATGATTTATTCATATGTTTTTAAAAAAAAAAACCAACACGATTTTTCACTCCCTCAAATGGGTCATCACTTGGTTGAGATCGATAATATGTTATTAATTATAGATTGACGCTTCTGTTGAGAAATCGCGGGGTTTGGATGTGAGTTTCTATGGACGTATGATTTTTTTTTTTTCACCACGATCGGTTGAGAAAAGAGAAAAAAAAAAAAAAAAAAAACTTGGATAACGATTGACTTTCAACGCGTGCGAAAGCCGAGCGAAATCGGCAATTATCGCAGCCATTCAACCGGCCAGTCAATGCGGCCCCTCGTGGCGCTGAGTTTTTCGTTTCTTTTGTCGAAGGAGGAAATAAAGAGGCCACCGCTGCGATAATCGTCTGGGTTTCCAAGTGCGGGGACAGTTTCGTTGGGGTGAAAAGAAGAATAGGCTCGCGTACGTGCTTCAAGGGCTTGGAGTGGCACATGTTTCGGCGTACATTATTTTGCGGGCCAAGTGAATAAAAAGTAAAAAAAATTTGCTAATACACGTATGTGAAACAATAGGGAGTCGTAATAGCGTGAAATAGCATAAACTAAGAGTCACCCGTGTGGGAAAATTAAAAGTGATAAGGTCGTTTATTATGTACAGTTGCACGCATTGACTCTCGGCGTGTGTTGTATGCACAGTGTGTACGTGTATATATATATATATATATATATATATGAACAATGACAGACGCCTTTCACATTGTGTTAATATGTGAGGTCCGTGAAACTTGCGATCAATCAAGGCGCCGATCTATTTCTCACTCTCCCGGGCGCCTTCCCCCCAGCAACAATAACAACAGCAGCAGCAGTCGAGATCCTATACACACACCTCCTACTTTTTGATCGATCATTATAATTTAATAACTTTCACTTGTGCGTGCGTCTTTCTAACTTGTATTGTTATTGAAAAAAACAAGTAATTGAAAAATGTAATCAATAATTCGTTGAATCTAATGGTAAAAATTAAGTCATAGATCTGTAAAACACTTAATGTTGCTTAGATTACGGAGATAATGGAATAATCAACGGGATTAAAATAAAATAATTATACAGGACAGACGACACCTTGGATTCAATTGAATAAAAATCCATGCTAGGTAACAACAAAAAGATTTATTTTCTTAATAGACGAAATTCAGTACTACCCGTAAAGTTTTTAAAGCAATTAAATCACGTAACGAATAACATTTTTTTGTGAAATTCAGTATACAACGGAGACAATCTCGTCAAAAGAGAATAGAGATGCGCTATCATTTTTGATTATCTAAGAACCGGTTTAGCCTCTACTTATGCGTCTACAAGAAAACTAAAACATGTTTCCAATACATCTTTCGAGAATCTTTATTTTTCTCTGATATAAACTTTCTGTACAAGGAAGCAAACAAAAACAATTGACGAGTAATTGGTAAGCAAACACTTTTTGTTACGATTAAAAAATAATTTAACAATTTTCAGTAAAAGATACTAGGGCCAGGAAACAAATATACATTAAATCGATTAAATGTATGGAATTTTGAATCTCACAACTAAATAACAACCGATAGAAATGTTCACTCATAAAATATTTCTTTGTAAAGTACCGATACAAGTAGCAGATTTCCGAATGAAATTCTCGATGATGATGGAATCGGTAAAAAAAAAGTATTTCCCATAGGCAAAATTTTATCTGTCCACTCTTGTGTTCTTTTGCGGTGAATAAATCATTTTCCAATATCATGGAAAAAAATTTTTTGTGAACACTAATACGAGAAAGAAAGGTGACAGTGTAGCCAGTCGGTACAACAACCTCTCGACGACGAATCGATCCTGTCCGAGGCTCTACAGACATTCTAATATGTACCTATACCACGCGACTCGTACACGTAAGACTGTTATATGCATGTAAGAAAAAAAAAAAAAAAAAAAAAAGGTCATAGATCCAAGACACAATCAGACACACTTGTATTACATATATGGTATACACGAGTTCATCCAACGCGGATGAATAATTTAATGCGCTCACCGAAGCACATCTTGTAACCATCACTGAGCAAACCACTATTACATAATACATGTATATATATATACGTACCAGCCTACTTGTTGATGATGCACATCAGCTGTACATACACGTATACAATGATATTATGCATGCGATGCAAGTACACATAGTATACGTATATGTATGTGCCTATTGCCAACTATACACTTATACGAGAAAAATAGAGGCGGCAAACAGTAAGTACATCTTTCCGCGTGCGAGTGTCCGTAGCAGCGTGAAATCTCCAAAGGTTCTCGAGCTTACGTGTATTGTAACGAGCATAAGTGTTGTTGAACCCCATCAAAACTACACTGCACTCACGTGAGTTTTTTTTTTTTTTTTTTTTTCGGCACGATGAACTCGTACATACTCTCTTTAACGATACTCAGAGTAAAATCTTGTTCGTAATAACACGATTGGCCTTCGTTTTTTTTTTTTTTTTTTTTTTTCGGCACGATGAACTCGTACATACTCTCTTTAACGATACTCAGAGTAAAATCTTGTTCGTAATAACACGATTGGCCTTCGTTTTTTTTTTTTTTTTCTTTTTTTTATAAAAATTACGGATACACGCTTCGAGAGCGAGGGTGCGCGCGCCTCATCACGTGCTGCTCGCGTTATCTATTCTCTCTTCGTTCGCATATACGTACAGAAGAGTATTTTTCTTTACGAGCTGTTACGCGTACGATGCGTGATTTTTTTTTCCCGAAAAGCATGAATATTCAATCCGCGCAGCAAAAGTACTCGGGCGCGCAAATGTATCCGCAGGAGAGCCAATGTCCCTAATTGAACCTTATTGCGTGTATTGTACGCGTGCACTTATTCCGGTCGTATATTGCAAAGATCGCCTTGGTATCGTTGAGCAAGAGGAGAAGGAAGGAGAAGAGGGGAAAAAAAAAAATTAATACTATTTCTCGTCCTCGGAGGGATCGATCCTTTTGTTTATATATACGTACGATTTCGTCGTACAGTCGATGCTGCTACGTCGATATGAAAATAAAAGAAAATGAATTGAGAATAAAAATTGATAACAATCGCGTTCTCCGATCCGGCAGATTTAATTTTTCACGAGCGGCAAAAGCCTCCGATTTCCGTGGGCTCCTTGAGAAATACCCTGCATTTGGGAGCACGAAAACGGAAGACTCCGATGCTGCCAGAGAGTCAAAACTTATAATAATAGGCTGTGGGCGAGAACTGG